CGCCCTCGAATTCGCTCCCGCAGCGGCAGGCACTCCCCACGAGCCCGCCACGATGTCCACTGCCCGTCCACTGCCCAGCGCCCACAGCCCGATTGTATTCCATTGTGCCCGTGAAATGACCACGGCCATTGCTGCCCTCGATCTTTCATGCTCCATTATCCCCGGCCGCCACATTTTCAGCTTCCTCTCCCATACTCTTCGAGAAGAATTCCGCCCACTTCATGCCGTCCTCTGACGTGCATGCCGCTATATCAGAACCATCATTGTCAAATCTCCAGCCAGGGGTCTGTCCATGCCACGCGGTGCCCAGCATCTTTCACTTCGCCGGCGAGAAAACGACGACGGGAGCAAGGGGAGGCCGATGAGCTTCACCACCTAATAACCCCAGGCCTTGGTAGCGGCATTATATCACCATCACCAGCATTGATATCGGCAGCCACGCGCCGAAGCTTGTGCTTCTTCCATCTTGAATTCCACCCTTCCCGACACCACCACCACCGGGCAGCCCTGGGGTTGCATTGAGCTGTCCCTCCCTTCACACGAGCGACTCACCGAACACAAGGGTGACGGGTCGCCCCCATCATCGCCATCTCCTTTTCATAAGCCAGCATCTCTCTAGCCGCGTCCACCGCTACAGGGCTTTCTCTAGCCTTCCACTTTGCCAGACCGGGGTCATTTCCATCGTGGGTTCTTGGGTTCCAGCTTGCCCGCGCTACCACGGACGGTTGCCGGGCCTTAACCCCCTCCACCCTCCCCCTCCCAATCCACAACCACAACCCACATTGTTCTCGATGCTCGATTCTCCTCCACTGTCCCGCACTTACACACCGCACCGCACACACACGCACATCAACGGCCATCCCGAGTCTGGACGAACGGACAGGTGGTCCATCCTGCTTCTTGCGCAGCCCCCGCTCCCGCTGCCGACACTGCGGACTCGATTATCAAGCCGCACCCGCACCCGCACCCGCACCCACCGTCGGCGGGGATATATCCAGTCGCCTTCGTCCCATGAGTAAACCTACAGTGGATGCGCCCCCAGGTTCTCCCTCAACACCCTCAACATATCGATAGCACCGTCCCGAGACTCCGAGCGTCGGCGCTGGGCGCAATTCAACATGTCCAACGATCCCGCCGTGCGCCGCATCCTCCCGCAAAACACGCAGATGAACGCCTTCAGCTTTGCGCCCCAGACATATCAGCAGCCGCGCGAAACTCAAAAGAGTGCGTTGCCCATGGCCCCCCATCGGTGTGCGGCTTCGCAACCATGCTCGTTGTTGGCTGACCTCTTGCCCAGACTATGTTTTCGTCGATGAGCACAACCGCCACAAGCGGTTGAAGGGTATGGGTCCCGGCACTCGCCCCCTTGTTGTTCCAACGGTCGAGACCCCCAACTGACTCGTCCGATTCTGTGTGTGTATAGTTATGAGAGCATGTGAAGGTTGCCGGAGGAGAAAGATCAAGTGTGATGCCGCGACGACAAACACATGGCCCTGCGCTGCATGCATCCGACTCAAGCTTCACTGCGTCCGTCCGAATGGCTTCGATGGTGCCGCCGACCCCCAGGTCTACGAACCGCCCCAGTCCCAGCTCGAAACACCATCACAGCCCCAAGATGGCTTTCAGCGGCAGCTATCCTCGGGAGACCAACAGCTCCTCGCCCACGCTGCCAAATCCAGCCCCGCCTACCAGCAGCCCTCGTACCAAGATGCTGCCGCCCTCTATCAATCCGTTCAGTACACCGAGCCGCAAAATGTGAATGTGACACACGGTTTGCCGTACGCCGACGTGTCCCACCCCGTAAACGTGGATACGCAGCGATTCACACCACAGAGCACCTTTCCGACTCCACCACCGATGCAGCACCCTTCCCAGGCTGCCGAATCACCCGAGGCATACCACAATGACTATGCGCAGCAGGATCTCGCCGATCTTCTGGGGTCTCTAAAGGTCAACGAGGCGGGAACGGGTGGGTCACAATGCACTGTTGTGGGAGGTACTTGGGCTGACTTGATGCCGTAGCCCCCTATCTGAACAGCAAGATGCGGTCGCCGAGGGACGAGGAGCCCGCCGTCGAAGATGCAGACGACTACAAGAGCAACTTGCCTCCATTAAATTATGGACCAGGCCTCAAGGTCAGGATTCCGCCTGCCCTGATGCCCGACGACGACACAGCACTTCACTACTTCGATCTCTACTTTGCCAACGCCCACCCATACGTGCCTGTCTTGGACAAGGAAACCTTTTACCACCAATGGCACAGCAGCCGGGAAACCATCTCGCCGCTAATTCTCGAGGCCATGTTTGCGATTGCTGGCCGTCTGGCGGATGAGCCTGCCCAGGGCCAGCAGTGGATGGCTCTTGCTACCCGTGAGTTTTTGCCGAGGGCTTGTGTCTAGTTTGTTGCTGACGGATACAGGACATGCCGACTCCTTTATGGATGTCCCTAGGCTGAGCACTCTGCAAGCCCTGCTCATCATCCTCAAGGCAAGGGAACAGGCACCGAAAAGGGGATACTACTACAGGTCCTGGATGACGATTGTGCAATGCGTTCAGATGGGCAAGGATCTCGGCCTGGATGAGCACTTTCTCGATCACCAGGCCGGGAAGCCATGCGGCTCTAGTGCTTCTGAGTGTGCCCTGAAAACCAGGATATGGCAGGTGATATTTGCTTGCGAGATCATGATCGGCTCGCCCCAAGGTGAGGACAAGCGTGCCCATCGCAGAGTTTAGAGCTGACACACTGGCAGGGCGAACGGACCTTCAAGTCGAGGAAGAGACGGTCGATTTCCGGCCCCCACGACCGGTACCGAACGGCGACGAATCCGAATACTACGTATCTCGGAACTTTTGCGTCTTCGCCGTAACCGCCCGGAACATTGGGCGAATGTCTGCCACATACGGCCGTCTGAAGAAGAGCAAGAGCAAGGACTGGGGTATTGATCCCGAGTTCCTTCAGCTCGGCGCGGCCTTGAACTCGTGGTTCAGTGAGCTGCCCCCGGATCTGGCAATCAGCTACCCACCCGATGGGTCGCCACCGTGGCTTCCCTCCGCTTTCGCCGGCAACGTCCACTCGTACTATTACCTGAGCATCATCCTCTTTAACCGGCCGCAGCTGGCGTTCCTTCAGCCCGGCGCGGTCGGCGGCCAGTGGAAGCACCACATGCTGCTGTCTTACAACGCGGCCAAGAGTCTTTGCAGGTTGCAGGAGGCAGTTGTCAATACCTATGGTCTTCAGGGACTGCAGTGCATGCAGAGGGGCATCAACTTTACCATCTATGCCGTCCTCGCCTGCATTGTGCTGCACCTTGTATGCATGACCCGTTCTGATTTGGAGAAGCCTTGCTAATGCTGTGCCAGGTGGCCCTGACGTCCCCCGATCCTCAGTTGAACAGCGACGCGCGCGAATACTTTACACGGCATATGCGGATCCTCGAAAAGTGCATGGGCGCGTGGCCGATGCCCGACATGCAACGACAGGTTGATTCGATCCGCCAGGCCTTCTCGGCGGACGTCAGGAAACCATTTGTTCTCAAGTCGAGCTTTCCGTACGGGAGCCCGAGTTCATCGACGCACTCCAGCCCTCCTGGCCAATATCGTTCAGAAGGGGCTCGGTCCGGGTCCATGGAGCAGACGGTAGACACTCGGATGCCACACTCGCAAGTCAGTTACATCAGCCATCCCTTGACTCCCATGAGTCCCCTGGACAGCAATAGTGACTCTGGTGTCCAGTCACTGGCCATGATGGCTTCCAGTCAACCGCAGCCGCCCGTAATGCAGCAAGCCATGCCTCTCCCGGATGCCCCGTCGTGGAATCCCTCCCGCATCTTTGAGTAAGTGGATCATTCTTTGACATAGTTTCTGCGCTGAAGCTGACACTGTCGTAGCCAATGGAACACTTCGTTCGGTCCACCCACGCTCCAACCATCGCCCAGCCCGGGGCAGGTCCAGGGTGGCGCCATAAGTGTGGCATCTTCCGGGGGTTCGGACTCGGCAGCCCTTCAGGATATGCACTCGCAGCACCTCGCCGCCCAGCAATTTCCCGCGGCGCAGGTCCAGTCATTTGTCACGCCGGCCATGTGGCAGGAATCGGTCGCTAGCGTGTACGAGGGCGGGTTGAAAAGGGCGTGGGACTATGACTCTCACATGTCAATGAAGCGACACTAGACGACCGACGACACCTAGTGCGGTCCTAGGACGAGGTTTACGACGACGGGGGCCACGAGGCCGCATTGCGTACGTTCGCTGCGAAAGATATACGAATTTTCAGCGAACCCCACATACAACACGGAAAACGAACGGATGGGCTCGCTTCGAAGATAGAACAGGTACGACAGACCAGGGGCTCGAGACGGTAGTAATGGGGTGATGTGCGAATATGGTGAGGGGCGTTTGCTGGCTTTGGTTGGAGCGACAAAAGGGGTGGAAGACGGATACGGACGACCAGCGCTACGATATGGAGGGTTCTTTGGAACACAACTGTACTACTAATACGGGGCAGGAAGGGGTGGCCGGTAGGATGGAACGGAAGGAATGGGGTGTTGGGGGGTAAGGGGGATATTTGCACGATGTCGGATGTTTCTCTTTCATCATGTATGGAAAGAGGGTTGGGAGGAGAGTGAGTTTTCTTCCTTTCTTGCAAAGATACCAACCGCAAGCGAGCGAGCGAGCGAGCTATCTTGGGGAGAACCGCCCCTGTGGGGTGGGAGTCCGGTTCTTGTTTTCTATTTTCTTGTTCTTGTTCGACGACGCGGATCTGTACATGTACGATACTAGGGACTTGGATATATAAGAAGAGGAGGCAGTTGATGGCCGTACGATTTGGTCTGTCCAGATGAATACAAATATGTGTTGTGGTGCTGAATCGATGCGTGTATTCTCCACTGTGGCGATGTCTCCAGCGGGCGATGAGGTGAAGCAACCCACATATTGGTACCGCGAGTCATGGTAGGAGGATACTTGAGAGGCAGTTCCCGCATCGACAGTCATCAATAAGAAAAGGGTGACTAGTATAGTGGTCAGTACACTTCGTTGTGGTAATTCCTTATATCAGGAAGCTTCAATTCCGAAGAAACCCAGGTTCGATTCCTGGGTCGCCCACAACAAACATCTTCTCTCTCTAAGAGAGAACCTTATTTTTGCGTGGAATATCTGGTTTTGATTGTCCGTCTACTTGCCTTTTTTTTTGTTCAGCCGTAGGTTGGGTTGAGAAAGGCGGGTGGCGGTTCCTGGATGCACTTGCCATGATGCGGGGGACGGGACTCATCACCTCACTCACCTCATCCAGCACCCTTTCCCTCGTCACCAAAACACAATCCAACCACACACAACCAGAGCGATTGACCCTGGAACAACCAACACATGAATCCCATGACATCCCTCCCTCCCAAAAGATGAACCCTAGGTCATCGCCATCATGTCATCATCCTCGTCATCAACCCAAACCCCAGGCCCGGCCGCCAAGCGCCGCCGCATCGACGCCGCCAACGCAGTCCTCCGGAAACCCTTTCGCTCGCCCATGATCAATCGCCCGCCGCCGAGCGCAACATCCCCGGACACGCCGGCTCCAGGTCCAGGTCCGGCCGCGACACCCGCCCGCCAGACCACCACCGCCGCCGCCTTTTCGACGCCCACGCCCAGCAAAGCGCCGTCGACACGGCAGCGTCCACAGCCGCCGCTGTTTACGAAATCTACGCCCCGTGCAGCGGGGGCGGTGACTCCCTACTCCAATCCGAAGAAGGTGGTGTTGGGGGGGGAAGGGGATGGGGAAGAGGACCCGGCCATCGTCGAACAGGCGCTCAAGATCACGCGTCAGGCTCGGCCCGGACAGAGCGTCGACGCGGAGCTGAAGGAGGCGACGGCCAAGTGGCGCGCGGCGGGGAGGGCGGCGGCGGAGGATCTGTTTGAGTTGGTCAAGGGGCGGGTGGATGGGATGGGGGCGGAGGAGAGGAGGGGGAGGAGCGGGTGGGGGGATGATGATGATTTTGGGAGGGGGGATGCACGTGGGGGGAAGGGACGGGAGAGGGATGAAAGGGAGGGGGGGGAGGATGAAGTTGAGGAGGGGGGTGGGGGGTTGGGGAAGTATGAGCGTGGGGGGAGTTGGGAGGGGGCGAAGAGTTTGAGGGATGAGTGTCATGAGTGTGGGTTGGATGATGAGGATCTGGCTCAGGTGGGTTTGTTGTTTTGGTTGGGATGGGCGAAGTGGGATTTTGCTGACTGACTGGTGGGATAGGGGTTCACGATGTCGATGATGCTGATGAAGTTGGGCATCGAGCCGGGACTGCTGGGGTGGGATGTTCGGGAGAACAAATGGAAGGATTGAGATCGAAGGGGATGGCGTACAGGAGGGCTCCAGGGGTTTCTACACGGAGATGGAGGTCTTGGTGTTTTGCACGGTATCACCGAAGATTCAAGGTATCACGGGTTCCTTCCTTCGGGTGCAATGTCTTGAGGAGGGTTGCAACTGATATCATTTCGTCCTAGACTCGAGCTTGATGATATCCTCGGCTACGTAACCCTTCGCTCTGGAAGAAGGGGTCTGAGGCCTCCTGGCGAGACGGCGACGGTGAAACTTGGGAATGGAGACAGGACAGTTGCGAAACTACAGGCCGATGCCGGGTGGCCGAGTCAGGGGACGGAGCCTGAGAAAGTCAGGAGTGTAGAACGCTACACGTCGGCGACGAGAAGCTTCCTTTTCCATGTCCGGGCTGAGTCCGTGGTACGGCTTCGCCACCTTTTGGGGAGAGGCATCACACAGGATGAGGGAGATGGCGACCTTTGATAGACATTTACCCGTACTTATCGCAGCGCCGACATCTCGGTTGGGACGTGATGGTGAAGGAGTCGTGCTGACTTGAAACCCACAGGCCCATCTTGAAACGCGACAAGCGCCGCACCCGTTGCACTAAAGGCCGCCCTGCGCCACTGCCGTCGATGCCAATCGATAGCCGAGCGGCGGGCCTGCAGGCCTGCCGACGGCCGATGCAGGCCCTCAAGGTGTCACGCCACGCCACCCCCAAAGCCCCTGGGCCCATGCCCGTTTGTCCCTCTACAACTGCCCACTGTCCCGATTGCCCTCGCCGTCACCCGTGAATCCAAAACGAGATTACACTGCCGTCACTGTTTGTTCCACGTATGTCATCTGCGCCCCGAAAACCCGTTGGTTTAAGCCATCCATCTCCCTCGGGTGCTGCCGTGTTGCCGTCACTGTCGTCCGTGTCGAGGTCTCGGGTCAGGCCATCGCATCGCTAAAGAGGCCCGGAGCTTGGCGTCCATATCCCATTTCATCCTCCCTTCCGTCCACCATTTCCAACGGAATCTCCTCCCCTCTGTTTTGCCTGTTTTCCCATCGACCCTGAATCGCAACCCCGTCCATTCACCACCGACCCAATCGCACCCGCACCTGACTTGCGCGACTCGAACTTCAGCCCACCCCGCCTTACATCCTCTCGGGGACCCCAACCCAGGTGGTGGTTGTTGCTAGGAACACCAACACCAACACCCACCTCACTCGCAAACCGCCGCAATGCCTTCCATCACACCCAACCTCGCACCGAGGCAGTACAGGGAATGTCTCCTCACCGAAGACGGCTTCATCGATAAGGACAGCTGCTACGTCCCCTTCTGGTACACCAAGGCACGCCCCCCCCCCCACCATCCCTCATGGAACCCCCCAACTAACACCCCTTCTTAGACCGGCCAAATCGTCAAGTGGTCCCTCTTCCTAGGCCTCATCGTCTTCATCTGCCTCTACCTCATAATCGGCTTCCTCCACGCCAAAAAGCGCATCCGCGAGAACCGTCCCCCTCTCGCCTACCACCGCGTACGCTTCCCCCCCCCCCAAACCACCCCCACACCCCCAAAAACTAACCTCCCTCCCCGAAAACAGTTCCTCGTCCCCCGCTCCCACCTCGCCCAAACCGACCCCCGCTACGCCTGGCCCGCCGCCGCGCCCCCGGCGCCCTACTACCAGGCCGGCGGACCCGTCGGTGCCTACGGCATGCACAACATGGCGCCGCCGCCCGTCTACGACCCCAACTCGGCGCGCCCGCCCGTGTATCCCGGGCCGCCCGAGGGCGGGTCCAAGGTTGATCCGAACCAGCACGGCGGCGAGCCGTCGCCGAGCTATTATGCCGCTGCTAGCGCCGCGCCACCACCGCCGCAGGTGAATGGGGTGACGGGGAATAATAATCCTTATCGTGGGTGAAGGGGGGGGGTGCACGGACGGTTGATGACGGGGTGGTGATGGTGCTCCGGTGTCGGAGCGGGCTGGCTGGCTGCCGAGGGGTGGTTGCACGGACTGTGTGACGCCGTTGGGGACCGGGGGGATGGTGACTGGGTCGGGAACAGGACGGCCGGGTCGCTGTTTGGTTTGATTTGGGGGGGGGGTATGGTACGATAGAGTGTACTTCTGCCCCGTGTACCGGAGGGGTTGTCGTCTTTATCTGGCTTGTGACTACAGAAACGCATGGGATACCTACGGCGCTTGGGAGCATAAGGGTTGTTTGGAACACTTTGGGTCGGCGGGGGGCGGTCTCCGCTGAGCAGCGAGCTGCATTGCATTTTATACACGGTCGGGAGGTGGGTTCAGCAGCTTTCAGTCGGGATTAGACAGGAGCAGATATCCATTGAACCCAATTGTTTTTTGCAAAGATGATGTCCGATGTGACTCCTGTTCTCGTTCAACTACCTGTAGCTATGAGCCTGGCGATATAAGTCTGATGATTCCAGTATAAAAGACACCCAAGCCAGGCCGACTTCGAGAGAGAATGAAGCGGCCAACCAACCCCCCGGAACTCCAAATGTGTAAGTAAGTGCCCGTCCGTCCGGCCGGGACCCGAAGCAAACCCCCGCCGAGAACGCCGTTATCCGTCCAACCCTTCCATCCGACCATTCCTGTCCCATCCATTCGTTCGACTGACTGATGACTGTAGGAATGGGTATCTCTGTAGTGTTAGCACAAGCATCATCCCCCCTCTCCGTACTGTTCGGTTCCCTTCAATCCAACTCCATAGCATCCGGATCCTCCTCCACCGCTGGTGTCGGTCCACATACAACATCCCCCTCCTCATCATCGGCATCCATATCCACCTCCTCCACCTGCGCCAGCGCCGCCGGCGCCGGCTGCTTCTCCCCGCGCAGCCGCGCCCGCGCCTCGAGAATCGCCTTGCGCACGCTGTCCTGCTCCTCGGGCACCGTCAGCGAGCTCGGCACGCGGTACAGCACGAGCTGCTTGTCCAGGTCGGGCGGGGCGCGGAGGACGGCGGGCGGGATGCGGTTGTCGCGGAGGTGCTTCTGGATGTCGGGGAGGTTGATGATCAGGTTGTTGTTGTCTTGGTGGGTGTCGGACTCGTCTTCCGAGGAGGTGAGCTCGTCGTCGAGGTTGCGGATGTAGACCTTGTACTTTGTGTCGTCGAGGGCCATCATCTCGTCGGCGCCGGGTGACGACGGGGAGGAGGCATTGGGCGCGGGGAGGCGGTAGGAGGTCGGGGAGAGGGAGGAGGGCGGGGGGAGGGATTCTACGGGGACGTAGAGTTTCGCGCCGGATTGTTCTGCGGGCGCGGGTGGTTAGCTTAGGGGTGCGGGCCAATTGGGGATGCGTGGTGACGTACCGAGGTTGAGGAGGCTCATGCGCTTCGAGAGGCGCTCGTTGTTCTCGGGCTTGTCTTCGGCTCGGCGCTTGCGGGGCCGGAGGACGGGCGGTTGCTGGTGCTGGTGCTGGTCCATGGCGGTGGCGGCGACGGGGCCGGTGCCGGGGCCGGTGACGACGGCGTGTTGCGGCGCCGGGTGGAAGTGGAAGTGTGGGGCCAGCATCATGTGTGTGGTGTGGTTGGTCAGTGGTGGGTTTGGGGGGTCCCCTTTTTTTATTTTGGCGACCGTGTCAGAGGCGTGTCTGGCTTTGCCCCCTCCAACAATTCTTCGGTCCAGTTGTTTGGAGAAAGGTGACGAATCGCCAGAGACGAGACGGGGCTGTTATCGGAGGCTTGCTGCGTCGAGTCAATTGGAGCCGGGGCCGGAGATACGGTAGGTGGTATCTGCCCTGTTGGAGATTGATTGATTGAGAGTTCTGGGGGGATCAATTCGAGCGGATGAGGCTGGCG